AGTGGTGAAAATTTATATTCTGACCTCCCTTTTCGTGTAGAATTTGGTAAATTTGACGTATTTACATCAGACTCATTACAACGGAGAAAGGGGAGCGGGGAAATAGAACCGGGAATGGGAAAATAAGAAAATGGGAACAAAACCTAACTTGAACTCTAGTCCTATCAGTAACTTCGTTCCCAGTTCTCTGCTTTGTTCCCATTTTTCATGTGCCAGTTGCCCGTGCTCGTTCCCAGCCCCCTGTTCCCTGTCTTATTAGCATCCATCTACAGAAGGCAACTTAAAGGCAAGGTAATCTTTATTTACACATGGTCAAAAACTCAATCAGGTACAGAAATAGTTTAAAACGTTTAAAACCAAATTACATTTTTACTGACCATTGCTAATTTATAATATTAAAATTTTTCAGTGATTACATAGAAAAAAGCATGTTTTCCATGCGAAATGCCGTGCCTTACTTGATATTGTAGTAATTGTTCAAAACGTCGACCATTTATTCGAAACGAACTGTTTGATCTCTTTAAAAACCCAATGTGTAATGTGTCGTTCCCGGGATAGTGACGTGGCTATATATATTGATATTCATTTCGCTGCCCTTTCAAATATATTTTCTCCCTGCGCTTAGATTCTACAGAAATTGGCCGCAAAGAACGGTTAACGATAGGTGTTTAAACAATCCTGTTTTCTCTTTTATCAACATAAAGCACCCTGCAAAGACAGTCGTTCAGACTGTCCGTCCCTTGCGGCGGCCGGAAAGTGTTGGAAACAAGCCATAGGGCATAAGTTCCATCAAACGTTTACCCTGTGGAATCAATGCAAGAAAAGTTGTCGCAGATGTAACGGTAAGAAGAGAAAAAAGTGTAGTAAAATATAGCGTTTTCAAATGTCTTGGACCAACAAAGAGCAGCAACTTAACAATGGCACACATAGATCACCATCCGTAACAGCCTTGGGACAGTTCTACTGTTGTGTTCAAAAGATTACCTAATACAACTGTATGATAGTCATTTTCTGGCTGGAGCTATTTATACGCAATCTCCATTCTAAACAAAGAGAACTGGAATAAGAAGAAACCTAGTAAAGCTGTATTCATACTAAACCGGGTAGCTTCTCGTGTCGTCATGAAAAACTGTCTGGTAAATGCAGCATGAACAGCGCTATGAACGGCAACTTCGTTCTTACTGGGGCGGTAGTTGTCAAGTTCGGTGCACTCGATTTCAAACCTCAGTTCTGAATAACTACTTCCGTCCGGCAGTTGATCCCAGCCCTCGCCGATACGGATTTACTTCCGTCACGTCCGTATACCTGTTCATAGAGCACAGTACAGTACAGTTTTGTTTTGACGAAATAGTTCTTTTTAAAGTGAATTAATTGTAAATAGGATTTTAATAGTTAGCTTTGTTATCAATAAAATATGTTCGAACCAGTACAGTTTAACCCTCTAATCAGTTATCTTGTTACCAAGGCGCTGAATTGGCGACCACACGGTCAACCAATGTAGCGAAACCAATCTTATCTTGCGTACACCTCTTTGCTTGATCAATAGAGACGTTTATTAGTTTTGCGATATCTATCCAAGGGTTCCGTTGTGTGACAATCCGATCTGTGACGATCCACTTTCAAGCTCGGCGCAGTGCTGGTTCACTCCTTTACGGAATTCGCGCCGAAATCACCGTTCTTATGTGTGAACAGAAGCCCTATCCGGTATGGTTTTCGTGTCGGGCCTCAAGCTATATTGTATAGTGTGAGCATGGGCCGACCTGCACCTATTCCTAACAAAGTTTGTGATTGGTTGGGAAAACAATATAAGGTTGGTGACATAACAATGCTCCTATTCTTGAAAATAATAGGTAGTGCAGGTTATAGGGACCAATGAAATAAGAGGTTTGGATGTGTGCAGGTCAATCAGTGAGCATAGCATAAGGCTGGGCGCAGTGTGTTCAGTAAAGAGTGTTATCATAACACTCTTTATTACCAGTGGTAATAAAAATAATAATAATAATAATAATAATAATAATAATAATAATAATAATAACAATAATTATAATAATAATAATAAAAACAACTTTCTTTTATTGATTCTTATAATATCTTTTTTATGTTTTTCGTTTCTTTTTCTTAGTGGATACTAAATGCCAGGATAATGATCCATATCAATGTCCTTGGCTGGCTGCTCAAAACCGACGCTGGTGTCAACGCATGAAAAGTAAGAAACTGTGACAACTCCCAGCCGCGGTGTGGCCCAGTGGGGAAAGGGTTAATCATTAGAGACCTTTATATTCTAGTGAGACGAGGACGACCACGAGTGCGACATTTTCTCGATACTAAATAGTGCTTTGGCTTGCGTGAGCCAACGTCATTGTGGCGGGAAAACGAGTTAGTCGTCGTTATTCTACAACGGGTTTTAGCGAGAATGTCGTAGTAGCGGGAACAAGTTATCAAATTTTAGAAGTTTAATCATTTTGCCACCGGGAAAAGGCTAAAACTTCTCCAATAAAAATCACTGCACTAATTTTACAGGTGAAAAATAGTACAATGTAGCTTTCCGGGTTGAACATTTTTCGAGAATACGCGAAAAAACTTTAAGTTACATCTCGTACTCGTAGTCGTCCCCATCTTCAAATCTAAAGCTCTCTCATGTGTCAACGAGACCAACTCAGTGTTATTTACATTAATTTTTGTTATTCCTCATAATAACCTAGAAACCATTGTAGCATCTCTCTTAACCGCACTTTACTATTTCTCGTCCCTGATATAGCGATGTGGCATCACTTGGCGATCGCTGAATTTTCGCAAATAAAGAAAGGGAAATTGATTGTTGATTCACAGCTTAGGGCTTTTAGGCATAAATCAAACATTTTAAATGAGACATAATGTTTTAAAATCAGTTAGGAAACCGGGACTGCCAAGAAACAAGTCAATCATAGTTTCTCGAGGCAATAACCCGGACACCCTTATTACAATTCACACCCTTACAGTCCTCTCAGCTAAGCTGCCTCCAGTTTCTTTCTGTAATCAAACTTATTCATAACAAATGACATCTGACCCAAAATCTTCTACACAGCCAACGCTCTAAATCACCGAGAAATTCTCTTTGCAGCTGCATTAATATATTTATCTCTATCAGATTCTTCCAGCTAATTACTTGAGTAATGTACGAGCTACTATAGTTACCAAGACAAACATAGGTAATATTACTATTTCCTACAGATCAATGCAAGAAAAGCTGCAACTCTTGTGGATCAAGCGGAGGTGATATGTATAACGTCTAGTGTAGCCTAAAAAAACTGCTGACGTTTCGCCACGACTAATTTTTTGACCAATCAGAACCATCTGGGTAGTGTCACGTCATCAGCCGGATTGAATTTCTGCCCTCCTTTCTCAGACGTCGTTTTGTGGAGAAAGCAGTGGTGGTATCTCGAAATGTCGGCTGTTTCTTCAGGCTACGCTTAGTGCACAGCTATGTAAATGAAAATTACTTAATTTGCACGAGAATGGAGAAAAGAAAGAGGGGCAGAACTTACTTTCTGTTCTTAACAACACACAAATAACAACTAACAACATTTCTCGTTTATTGATTGTACCGTAATAGGCCGCTACGCTTAATTCCGGAGACGCTTAATTTGGAGACCAAACTCAGCCTAAAAAACGAAGTTGTGAAGAATACATCACAGAATACATCAAGAAAATTAACGAAGTTTTGAATATGTACCTAGAAGAGACACTCGGAGGCCAGGAAAAACCCCTACAAAAAACTCGCGAGAAGGACGGGAAATCCCAAAAACGCCACGACCTTCCTAAGAGGACGAAAATAATAAAAGAAAAATATTTATTTTATTTTATTAAATAAATAAGTGACCCTCCACAGGAATTTGATGCTAAAGGTGAAAGCACGCTCACGACACGCTTGCACGACACTCTTAGCGTGCCGTAGATCACGGATATGCGCATATTAAATTGAAAAAACAAAGACGGACACACTTGCNGATTGAATTTCTGCCCTCCTTTCTCAGACGTCGTTTTGTGGAGAAAGCAGTGGTGGTATCTCGAAATGTCGGCTGTTTCTTCAGGCTACGCTTAGTGCACAGCTATGTAAATGAAAATTACTTAATTTGCACGAGAATGGAGAAAAGAAAGAGGGGCAGAACTTACTTTCTGTTCTTAACAACACACAAATAACAACTAACAACATTTCTCGTTTATTGATTGTACCGTAATAGGCCGCTACGCTTAATTCCGGAGACGCTTAATTTGGAGACCAAACTCAGCCTAAAAAACGAAGTTGTGAAGAATACATCACAGAATACATCAAGAAAATTAACGAGGTTTTGAATATGTACCTAGAAGAGACACTCGGAGGCCAGGAAAAACCCCTACAAAAAACTCGCGAGAAGGACGGGAAATCCCAAAAACGCCACGACCTTCCTAAGAGGACGAAAATAATAAAAGAAAAATATTTATTTTATTTTATTAAATAAATAAGTGACCCTCCACAGGAATTTGATGCTAAAGGTGAAAGCACGCTCACGACACGCTTGCACGACACTCTTAGCGTGCCGTAGATCACGGATATGCGCATATTAAATTGAAAAAACAAAGACGGACACACTTGCCTTCTGTTTTGGTAAATTTAACACGCTAGACCTTTTGTTTTTTTGTAGCGTGCCATATGTCACGGTAAGTGTGCGAATTATAGCACGCTCAGCGTGCAATTTGGGTAAGACACGCTGAACACGCTTGATTACTAAAGCTACTAAGATGACAAAAATGACTGGTTTTCAGCGGATTTAATCAGCATCGATAACTGGTCGGAGTGAATCAAATATACCAATTGTGCTGTTTTGGAATTTGACAGTAACCTTAGCCATTTGAATATCACCACTTAATGGTCGCCTGTAGCCTGGAATTAACGCGAGATCAGTCTAAACCAATTCCACCGGCTGTCGGCTGTTGATCGGAATCGCAAAGTGACCTGCTATCGCATGCGAGGCACTGAAGTTATGTCGCCTGAAAATTATAGTTATGCCGCCGGAATCTTTATTAGCGGTAATGTACAGAGAAATGAAGGTGAGTAAATTAGTTTAATATTATTTCTTTAAGCCATGCTGAGACGAACGAAGGTAATTAAATCGGAGAAACAAAAACTGCCTAGAATCTTCTATAGGTTGAGGAAGTGTAAACATTTCTAGATGACCGTTCCATGCATGTACAATCAGTCTGAAGCTTATTTAATAAATTCTTTACGATTTTCTAAAGTTTAATTTTTTTTCATTTCACTCCCCAGGTTAAGCTATTTTTCGTAGAGAAAGGAATCCTAAAATTTTCGGAACCGAAAATACGATAAAATTCTCACTTTCCTAAGACTTTCAATTGGAAGCTAAATTTTTCGGGAAAATAATGCTGAAGCCCTTGTAATTTCGAAAAGACTGAAGTTGTCTTGGCTTGCCTGGACCTATTACTTTCAGAGAGAGAATTGGCCAACGGCAACACAGCAGGAACTTTTGGCTTCGAAAAGCTATAATGAAGAAAAGATGCGATTTCTGTCATCAAACTTGCGCCATAAGTTCGATTTGATTTTGTAGACTATTTCTTTAGAAATTAGTTTCTGTGTAAAAATTTGGTTGTAAATATAAAAGCGACTGTTTTTTTTTATGTCTTATCTTAAATTCCGCTTTGTTTTACATGTAATTTAGTCCTCAAGGCACTACCAAGTTTCAGGAGGGTAACAAATCCAGTCGTGCATAAACGTAAAATAGGCATTTAAAAGACGCACTAAACTAGCGCGACATAACAAAAAATTATTCTCGCGCCGCTAAAATAATAGTCTGCTAAACAGCCGTTCTCAGTCGAAGGAGGGTTGCGTGACGAAACTAAAACGGTTGTGTTGCAGACTACTCAAAGACACTTAAATAATTTTAGGCCGTAATACTTCTGATGACGCTAAATCGGTCTCCGTAACTTCATAGCGCGAATGTTTGTTTAGATGGTTCTAAAACAGACGGCAACCACAAGAAAGACAACAGGATGATTACGGAATTTGGACAATAAGACTGAAGCATACGCGATGTAATATTTCAAGAAAAACAAATTTACATACATTATTTTAATACCGGTTTCGCTTTTTGTGTTATTGCCGGCCGAATCAATTAAGCAACATTGAAACCGTTTTGGAATTTTGGTAGCTTATAGATAACACGCCTTGCGTGCTTTTGCGTACACTGAAAGCGTGTCAGTGTGCTTTTTCGCGCGGTGCTTTTGTTTGAAAACTTTAACACGCCCTTTTGTTCGACATGCTCACGCTTAATTGTCTCAAGCGTGTCCTCTGAAACAAAAGAAATTGCTAACGAGGCAAGATTGCAAGCGTGCTAAAGCGGGTTAAAATAAATTCTTTTGTTTTAAATTGAAAGCGTGTCGTGCGCGTGCTTTCACCTTTAGCATTAAAATCCTGTGGAGGGTCAGTTTTGCCCTAAAGAATCCCCCCCCACCCCCCCCCCCCTCCCAAAAAAAAGAAAGAAACACAGTAGATAGATTTCCTGGTCTAAAACCCTGGCTGTGTTACATTTCAGGCAAATACTGAAAATTAAATTAAATTAAATTTTCACGCAGAAAAGGAAGCGTAACGACCGAGAATGACTCGCATACTAAACAGCCTATCAGTTACATGTAAACCAAAATACTAATTCCACTCTGCACGTATTAAACACACAATTGCTTTCAGGAATACTTGGTGTCATAATCTTTCAAAAGCATCTCACAAATAATAATAAAATAATGGCGAACAGAAATCAATTGCTACGCAACCGAAGAGAATTCACAATTGGGCGTTGCCAACAGGTCTTATTCACGGTACCCGCCATCCACTTTGCACTCGCTTAGGAGTGATGAGACAAAGAAAAATTAGCCAGGTTTCTCACGGTCGAGTTTGTTTATTCTAAGAAACAAAAAACATAAAGAACTTTTCATCTTATAGACGATAATAAAAAATTATGGGTGGAAGTGATCATTGTTAACTTCTTTCGATACAGTAGCGACGGCCGTAGATGACCTCACAGCAAACAATAATGACGTAAATCTTGTCGACACTGACGAACTGAACATTTTGCATGACTATCAAATGGTCGTCTCTTTTTTCAACTGTGCGCCTACCTTTGATTTCAAACAGAACGTTTCGGAATATTGTTTTGTTGCAAATATAATCGTCCCGTGCTTGAATTGAAATTTTGCATTTTCATCAAACAAAAAGTCCAAGGGGGAAGAGATCCTAAGACTTCGTAAGATCTGTCGCATCATCTTAATGAAGTTTCTTTCTTCTTCTTTTTTTTTTCAAAATCCTTTGCATTTAGGTGGCGGTAGCGGGGGTTGGGGTAGCTGGGGTGGCAATCACCACGGAGGAGGACATGGTGGAGGCAGCCATCACGGAGGTGGATACGGTAGCTGGGGTAACAATCACCATGGAGGAGGACATGGTGGAGGGAGCCATCACGGAGGTGGATACGGTGGCGGCAGACACCATGGAGGTGGATACGGTAGCTGGGGACGCTGAATAGGTTCTGGTCGTTTATAATATAAAAGAGAAAGTAAGTATAGTTTTGGAAATGAAAAACGAACTATAATTTAAGGTATTTATTCGATTTTTGGGTTTGCAAAACAAGCCATCTAGGGGGGCTAAAAATAGATTAAAAGGAGCGTTCCATATACCACTTGTTTGCTTCTTCAAAACCCACATATTTACCAGTCACTATATGGCACTTTTGTTTATACTTTACTTTAATGAACCTTTCGATCCTTGGGTTGTTGTTGTTGTTGTTGTTTTTTTTCTTTTAAAAGGTTTCTGTTTAAAAACTCACTTTCGATAAGCTATTCTTGTACATAGCACTTTGTTATTCTCAATAGCCCACAAGTGGGCGCGGCATCGACAAAGCAGAAAATAAAGACGGGAGACGGATTTTTTTTTAAGTAAATTCGGTTACCTATTTTTAGCATTCTTTGTCTCTTAAGGCAAATCATATGCTTCCAACTTCGAATGTAAAAAAATGTTGTACTTTTACTCCCTAGGTTTGGCACCAATCTGTGGAAATCAGTTTTCTCCAAACAGAATTAAGAAAGAGCACTTGTTGGAATGAGATGATCAAAATAAACTTAATGTAAAACGTAATCTTGTCAGTGCACTCCTTTTTTTGTCATTATATATTTTGGTCAACGCAAATGTTAAACTATTTTATGACTAAAGTAGACTAAAGTTAGCGACCTGACTATTTACATCCTTGGTGACGATATTGTCAGGACAAGGTGGGGCCCTCTTGACAGTTAATAAGGTTTAAAATTTCACCTATCCTCATCTTAACCACCCATTATAATCGTCCGATTAATCCCATTAGAGCCGCGAGTCCTCTACGTTTATACACTGCTTGTTAAGTCATTAGTTTAACGGTCATCGAAAGATTGGAGACCTAGTTGAGGCGGGGAAAATATCTTTCCAAGCATACAGAATTTTTTTTTGCAATTCTTATGGCCAGCCCTTATTCCGCCTTCAAAACGTTTTAAGATCCACGAGGTTTTCGCAAAACTTCCACCAAGTTGACTTCTTTTTTAACAGTAAGACAAGGTTAAAGTTTGTCTGTAGCCTTAAAGCGAGTGAAGTCACTAAAAAGGGACCTTGTGAAAGACTAGGAATAGGCCGGGTTTTCGTGGAATCCTTTTCCTGCTGATCGCCAAGTGAGGCCAAGTACTGAAATACTGAGCAGAAGAAGACTGAAAGGGTGAGCGAGGAGAAACGTCTGCCGTTCGCCAGTGTAGACATTAAAATTTAGTCGAAAAGAAGAACTCGGCCTTGTTGTTATTTTTTTCTGTCTTAAAGTCTAGGCGACCATGCGATTTACCGCCAAAACGCGCGGGTGGTTGAAACGCGATATTTCACTCCTGCTTACATCAATGGGTGGGCGTTCTTACGGTGGATTTTATCAGAACCAAAAATCTCTTCGATGCAAAGGTAACCTATTTTTTACCCATGGTGCTTCGCTGTGCGCACCTCACGCGCGAGAGCTTCGCTATAACATTTACAAAACTACTTAAGATACCTTTAGGTGAAGTCAGTGATCATAGGAGTCTATAACCTAATGAACGATAATACGAGAAAACGTGAAGCATTATCATATGGTGTACCCGTTCGGAAAATTTTGACCCCATTCAATACACCTAAATGAAAGATTTCCTTACCATTTCATATTCTTCAACCTATAAAAATTACCCCTTTTAGGGTAGGGCTTCAGTAAAGGCGCAAAAAGGAAACAATGAAAGCCACAAAAACCATGAACAAATATTTGCTTTCCAATTTGGCAATTGTCACGGACTACTGGCAACCACTATGCGAGGAGAACGTGTGACTTGGAAATAAGTCGAAAAACCCGACATACACGTATTAAGGTGAGAAAAAAGTTAGAATTCGCATTTCGCGACAGCAAACCAAACCGCCACGGAATCAATGTCAATTTTTAATAAAATAATTTGTTATTTATGAGCAAAGGCAGTAATAAATAAGCAACAACAAAAAATAACGCGAATAAAAGGTTTCTGTTTAAAAACTCACTTTCGATAAGCTATTCTTGTACATAGCACTTTGTTATTCTCAATAGCCCACAAGTGGGCGCGGCATCGACAAAGCAGAAAATAAAGACGGGAGACGGATTTTTTTTAAAGTAAATTCGGTTACCTATTTTTAGCATTCTTTGTCTCTTAAGGCAAATCATATGCTTCCAACTTCGAATGTAAAAAAATGTTGTACTTTTACTCCATAGGTTTGGCACCAATCTATGAAAATCAGTTTTCTCCAAACAGAATTAAGAAAGAGCACTTGTTGGAATGAGATGATCAAAATAAACTTAATATAAAACGTAATCTTGTCAGTGCACTCCTTTTTTGTCATTATATATTTTGGTCAACGCAAATGTTAAACTATTTTATGACTAAAGTAGACTAAAGTTAGCGACCTGACTATTTACATCCTTGGTGACGATAAAGTCAGGACAAGGTGGGGCCCTCTTGACAGTTAATAAGGTTTAAAATTTCACCTATCCTCATCTTAACCATCCATTATAATCGTCCGATTAATCCCATTAGAGCCGCGAGTCCTCTACGTTTATACACTGCTTCTTAAGTCATTAGTTTAACGGTCATCGAAAGCTTGGAGACCTAGTTGAGGCGGGGAAAATATCTTTCCAAGCATACAGAAATTTTTTTTGCAATTCTTATGGCCAGCCCTTATTCCGCCTTCAAAACGTTTTAAGATCCACGAGGTTTTCGCAAAACTTCCACCAAGTTGACTTCTTTTTTAACAGTAATACAAGGTTAAAGTTTGTCTGTAGCCTTAAAGCGAGTGAAGTCACTAAAAAGGGACCTTGTGAAAGACTAGGAATAGGCCAGGTTTTCGTGGAATCCTTTTCCTGCTGATCGCCAAGTGAGGCCAAGTACTGAAATACTGAGCAGAAGAAGACTGAAAGAGTCAAAAGAAAAAAAAAAGCTGGAAGAAGAGAAAGCGAAAGGTATAAGATGAAGAGGCAGTGTTCATTTCTGAATTAACTATTAATTGAAAATTCCTTGTGTGCCTGCCCGAACTTTGGAAGTGCAGTTAAGGCCTACATCAGAATCACATGATAGCGTGGTTCTACCTCGATGGTGACGATAAAACTTATTTTTTTCATTCAAATGAAGTTCATTTCCACAAAAGGCTATGCAACTGAAAGCCACAAGGAGCGAGAATGGAAGACTGACTGATTTAGAAATACCAAGACAGTGTTTTGCCAGCGATAACGTGAAAAGGTCTTACAAAAAACAAAGAGGTTTAACAAGAAAAACTCAATGAACTGTGAACAGTAATAAAGGCAATTTGGGATAAATTAAATCATTTTTTTTAATGACTAGCTACAGTTATTATTGACCATACAAAATAAAATCGATTTTCACATAGAGAGGTGACTAAAACGCCAGTAACAACGAGTAAAAACGTTCTCTCAGAATCAGTAGAATTTTATCAAACTGAGGGGTGCGCTTTGATGTGTCGTCTGTCTCGACTGATTATTAACACAGGAATCAAACTATCAGGGTGTAATAGCGCGGTATGACACAGTAATATCACAGTTTTTACCCCAAATAATTTAAAACAATTCATGATTCCAAACTTCCAAAAGCTCAGAAGCAGAAGGAATTAGTGAAATTATGATGGAAAAGTGTCTAAAGTAACTGGGTATACAACATACAGTTTGAACCTCATTCTGATCCATAGCAGGACTTCTGTCAGACTTTGAACATTAAGGCATCGGCTAACAAAGAAGAACGATTGTTTATCAAATTATTTAGAAATACATTTAAGGCGAGTATCAGGACCCTGCTATCTCAACCTGGCTACCATGGCGGTGGAATACATAGTTAAGCTGAAATTCCAAAAAAAGCCCACATATTAAATATTCTGCATGTTCCCGATCAGTGTAACTTCAAACAGCAAATAGTATTATTTTTCACAATTGCTCTACAACAGTTCACCAAAGCATAGGGTTTTCATTTGGTTGGTTAAAAATTTTCTTTCGTTAACATTGTGAAGCTGCTCCGAACAGTTTGAATCAAGCTTTACAGCTCAATCAGTGGAAATCGGACGACGCACATCACGGCGCTCTCTTCCTTCAACTTACAAGTTCTTCTGCCTCTGAAAATACATGTATAGGTTCAAAATGCATTTCTGTAAGGGCACCTAAGGACGGTTTCCTCCAAATGCATTGAAACACTTTTTAGGCGATACAGAGTACTTTTGGGCCTCTAGAAATGCATTCTAAGCGGCGGAGCTATAAAATTTGTGTCTGTTCGGTCATCCATCCATTTTGAAAATCATTCACAGTTTACTAAGTTATCTAGAATTTTCTTCCTCTGAGTGTAAGGTTAGAAAAGCTGTTTTTCATGGTCATGAATAGCCTTTTGTTCGACACCCTGGATAATGAGTACTGCGCCACTGTTTAAAGTAAGAGAACATTCAAAGTGCCAATTGCAGCTATTTCGCAAACACTGTCACTAAGACTGAATTCAAGTTCAGAATCATAAAGAGACTCATTGAACAGTGGATTGGGGTCAAAGTGACTTGGAAAGAAATCTCATATTTTTCGAACAAAAATTTGTCACCATAGCTAGACTTCCAAATTAAAAATCTATTTCCTGTGAAGAAATCGTACAACTTTATTTGCATCTCAGTATAATCGAGAACAAAAGAACTGCGTAAATAACAGGACGGAAGTGGGGCGGTATTTCACAGCTGGTTGACAAAGCGTGATCCGCAAAACATGTCAGGTAAAACGCTTAAAAGCAGAAAGGTCTAGAAAATAAACGGTGAACTGTTTTTAAGGCTTGTTAAAGGCTCGATAAACAAAGTAAGATCCTTTTTTGTCATATAGCACTAGCAGCTCCGTTAAACCGGTGCGGATTTCACAAACTATTAAAGTGTATGTCATGCCACTTGAAGCGTACATTCAAAAACACACAATGTACAGATTGAGAAGAATTGCATGAATGGACAGTTAATAATTGGACCGAATAACGATAATCATGTGCTTTCGTTATCTGAAACAAAGAAAAAGATCAGCTTCTGAATCTTTAAAACTGCGCCGACCAATTTCATCAGCCTGCGAACGGCAGACGTTTCTCCTCGCTCATCGCCGCTGGGGAACTCGCGAGACGTCCCCAGCGGCGTGGAGCGAGGAGAAACGACTGTTTTTGCAGGCTACAATTTCATAAGACTAAATTTTTTTTATGTCACTTCAGATCCCCACTGATGCAACTCCAGAATTTCTTTAGAAACAAACCTCTTCATTCATCAACCAGATCTCCGTAATTGGGATAAAATTGATTTTCGGTCTGTTAAGCAGATTGAATGGAAGCTAATGGAGGCGCAGTATCAATATCCCCAACTCCAAACACTCACTTGAGAGCAAAGAAGCATGACAAGGTAGTGAACTGTAAATTGGTTTTAAGGCAACTTTAACAAAGTTGAATCATTTTTCCGAACAAGCTAAATTCATCACTACGCTTTCAAAATAAAATCGATTTGTGCAAAAAAGCAGTCATAAAATACAATTTCAAACTTTCTTTCGCTAACAGAAGGACTGTATCAACAGTAAAATGCCTGCGAGGAGGACTGAAACTCCTGCTTTGTTGTGTCTACGGTAATAAAAGATCTTAAAGTGCAAATTTTTAATTTCCATAAAATCTGTAAATAAACTTGGCAACAGTTCAGGTATCTCATTAATCCGCTTCTTCACTTTGTTCTGCAAACTTCTCAGGAACGATATCGCAACTTTTTCAAAGTTTACATACGGTAACTAAAAATTGATTAAATTGTAGCAAGGAAGGGTGGCACTCGTTGTCAAAATTTGCTAAGTGTTATGCGGGCGATCTTTTAGAGGACGGGTATGCAAACCAAACTGAACGCAGGGTTGTCGAAACAGTAACAAGAAGATTTATTCCAAAAATGAACGTAGTTTCCACAAGCTAAGGTAAAACTCAACAACTGCACGTAACTCATTAAAGTCGTGGTGTTTGTATTTATGTTCATTCGTAGTAATATCAATTTTCAGCTTCGCGCCGTGATCTTAGTCCGAATAATCGTGAATGTCTCACTGTTGAAATCAGTTAACCCCTCTCAAAGCCTTTCCTCGTTTCTACCTCATACAGACCACCAAAATCATCTCCTGGACTCTTCTCAACCTTTGAGAGATCTATTGATAAAATTGACGCTGAAAATTTGGAGCTATATCTTATGGGTGACTAAAATTGTAATTTATTATCGGAGGTTGTCACTTGTAACAACTCTTCTCACCTCTTAAATATCATCGATATTTATGGTAGACTTACTCAACTTGTTACACAACCAACTCGAGTTACGCAATATTCAAGTACCCTGATCGATTTATGCCTAACAAATTCCCCAGATAAGATATCAAAGTCAGGTGTTATTAATATTGGTTACTCATCTTCGCTCCGATATGCTTAAAACTGTGGAAGTCCGACAGCTCAAGAATTTAAATGAAGGTGAATTTTTGCGAGATCTTCGCATGATTGACTGGAACCGCGTTACAACGCACCGATAACCCAAATGAAATGTGGGACTTTGGGAACACCTGTTCACGAGTGTTACTGATAAGCATGCACCATTCAGAACAAAAAGGGTTAGAAACAAACGCTCTCCTGGATTACTAATGAACTGTTACCTGAACTACACAAAAGAGATTTTCTAAAAAAGCTGCATCTACAAATGACCCTTTGATCTGGAAACAGTTTAAAGATGCAAGAAATACGGCCAATAACTCTGTGAAGAAAGCTAAACGTAAATACTTTTCTGAAAACCTTGATGCAAACAAAAGTGATCCTCGTAAAACCTGGTGATTAATTGGTGAACTGCAATCTCGGCAAAGTAAATCAACCAAAGTGTCCCAAGTCAAAACAGGAAACCAAGATTTCACCTCACCCGGTGATATCGCTGATTGACAGAAGCATTTAACAATCATTTTACAAACATAGGCCAATGTCTAGCACAAGAAATTCCTAGTTCGGAAATTGGCCCGTTTGCCTATGTTAATCCGATTGACGTAGTATCTTCTTTTCAACGGATCAATGTTCAAAAAGAAATCAAATCACTTAAGGTTATAGGTAAGGCAACTAGGCTTGACAAAATTCCAAACAGGCTTCTGAAGATTGCTGCCAATGTTGTCGCGCCCTCTTTAACGAGCATCTTTAATCAATCGTTAGTGACTGGCATTTTCTCCTCTGACTGGAAACTGGCTAAAGTGTCACCAATTTTTAAGAATGGTTCTAAATCTAAGTCTGACCTAAACAACTATCGGCTCATATCTGTTATTCCTACCGTAGCCAAAATTTTCGAAAAAAATATCTATGACCAGCTATATCAATATCTGAATGAAACTGGTTTATTGAACAGCGGCCAGTCTGGTTTCCGCTCGCTACACAGCACTCTCACTGCCTTGTTGGAGACAAACGATAGCTGGTGTGTCAATATTGATAGAGGTATTCTTAATGGTGTAATCTTTATTGATTTGAAGAAGGCCTTTGACACTATTGACCAAGGGATAAATCTTAAAAAACTTAATAAGTATGGCGTTGATCAAGACGCCCTGAAATGGTTGAAATCTTACCTAACTAACCGTATGCAAAGTTGTTATGTAAACAATCATCTATCTAGCGCGAGCCCTCTAAATTGTGGCGTACCTCAAGGGTCAATAATTGATCCTCTTCTTTTACTGACCTATTTATATGATCTACCAAATTGTTTGAATGTGGGCTCTCCTAGAATGTATGCCGACGACACTAATGCTACCTTTTCTGCAGCTACTATACCTGATCTTGAGTTCCAAATCAATAGTGACCTTAAATATATTGATCGCTTGCTCAAACCTAACACTCAGGTAGATTAAGGCCTGGGTCAAGTCGTTTATGACTTTTATGTACAGTTTCCAAAAACTATAGTTAAAGACATCCACAAGGGACGATATATGGTGAGGTAAACTAAATTTAAAAAACTTGAACAAAGAAGTTTCAATTATTTGGTCACGTGATCGACCACGCCCTCTATTGTTCAAAAATTGTAACCAACGATTCCCACCACTTGCCAAACAAGTAGCTCCAGTTTCTCTGTATCAAAACATTGTCCCTACAATCAAAGCATTACAATTGGCAGGTGCAACTGGTGTTCACTGACTAGTGCCAGACCTCCTCCACCTAAAATCATCGACAGAAGAAAGACGTTTATTGACCTCGCCTCATTCCGATTGTTTTTACATGAAGACTGTTAATAGCCACTTTTTGGACTTACTGAAGGAAAACGGTTTACTCTCTTTCTGATGGGAATTCCGACACAAAGGATTTCTCGATAAAACAGGGCGTGGCTGGTCACGTGATGCAGTTATAAACAATTTTTAAAATGAATTTGGAAGATTTCTTGGTTATGATTGGCCTTAAATTGTTAGTCACGGGATATCTTGAAAATACTTTACGTTATACCACCCCCCTTTAACAATTCTGAAAACTCTGTAATGACCCAGGCCTTAATCTACTTGAG